GTTGTTTTCTATCTCCTTGTCTAAGGTGATTTATGCCACCTGTTCTTAGGTATCTTTGGTTAGGGAGGATAGAGTCTTGTGATTTATCAGGTGGCTATTGCTTAGCTGTTCCAGCTGTTTATTCAGCAATTTATCTGTTTCCTCACTGTACTTTCTAGGAAATTTTCCTACTTTTTTACTAACCTACCTCACCATCACCCATGATTTTTCTAAACCTCTTTTGGTTATATCTTTAGTTCATATTAACTCTTAGAACTCCACAGACTATACTCCTTTGCTGGAAGTACATTCCTTTCTGTAAAAAATGACTCATATGATTCACGAACTACCTCCCTTCTTGTACTATCTTTCTTCTATGCTATACTAACATCCAAAGATTAATTAATAAGACCATATTAATTTTATCCAGTTATATAACATGATATGCTATTATCATATTCCCTTGAAATTCTAGGCTTATGAAAGGTCTATTTTTTAAGGATACTTCTACCACTTCTATTCCAAGTTATTTTAATATCGTGAATGTTGTTGTCTGATATTCTCATATATGTTTCTTATATTAGCAATGAAGTTTTTCTGTAGCTATTTGCACTTGAAATTTTGATCTCTAGAAATTATTACTGCTGACATGGAAAAGCAAGTAATAAATAAAAGTCCCAAAATGTGCAGGGAGGCTGAATTTATAAAAATAAAAAGGATGAGATTTGGTGTAACTGTTCCATTTATTTCCACAGTCTTAGCAATCAGTGCCGATGGCTGTGTGGTCAATTTTGCTGTTGTGATGTTGCTGTGTGCTCTCCTGGCCATCCTCAGCAGCTACTGACTGAGAGAGGTTATGACTGTAAAGTTAGCAAACATTGCATCAGTCAGAAATATATTACTAGTTATTAGCATACTTTCCATGATACTTGAAAACCTAAGCAGCTACTCTAACTCAGAACTAGTAAGTTGGTCAGTCTGTGTCACTTATGAGCTGGCAAAACAAATGTCCTGTTGAGACATTAGCAAAAGGCAGAGGAAGAAGATCAAGGGCAATGGTCTTCAGTATGTGTCTTAGTCCATCTGGGCTGCTATAACATAATACCACAGATTGGGTAGCTTAGAAACAGCAGAAAATTATTTCACAGTTCTGGAGACTGGAAGTCTGAGATCGAGGTGTCAGCATACCTGGTGAGGGTCCTCTTCTGGGTCACAAACTTCTGGCTATATCCTTACAGAGCAAAAATGTCTAGAGATCCCTCTGGAGCCTCTTTTATAAGGCATTAGTCCTATTCATGAGCGCTTTACCTCCCCCACTTTTAAGCACCCCTCAAAGACCCCACCTTCTAATACTATCATCTCTGGGGGTTAGGATTTTGACATATGGTTCTTGGAGGACACAAACAGTCATATTATAGAGATATAGAACAAACTCCTATAGGTGGCAGAGGATAGGAGACCAGAACAATAGGAGAATCTTATAGCTATGAGGTCCCCTGAATGGTAAACCAGTGAAAAAACAAAAATGGCCACACATTTCTTAGCAAGTTCCATAGGCTGCCGATCTATTGCAGAGGGATGAAATGCCATATTTAACCCTTAGCTCAACAAAATTAGTTCCTGTCTCTTTTGTGGGGGAGGAAGAATATAAGAAAAAAACTCTCATTTTATAATCTAAGTCAATACAAGAATGACTCCCTTAGAACTCAAAAGAATTAAGTGTTTAGGAAATAAAGACACAGAACTCCAAAAAAGGCAATATTCTGAACTTAGTTCTCTGGCTTTATTGAAGGATGCATTAGAACTACTGCTCGAGTTGTCACTTTAGATGTCACATCACTGATGCAAGGAAGTCTGGTTTCAAAGAGGTCTGAAATAGAGATGAAAATCTGTGGGGCTAGGATCATCTGTGAACCGGCTTGTGTGTGCAAGCCTGGAACCGATCAAGGATTTTTTTTACCCAGAATAACAATTCAATTTGCCAACTATATGTTTTTATTAATACAAAGAATGATTACAGAAATGATTATATTTACAGAAAATATAATTATATCTAACCATATTGGAATAAATCCGTTACCTAAGGAATAACATGCCATCAATTAAAGAGCTCTTTTATTATTTGTTTTTAGTCAAGGAGTAAAATTACATTAGGGCCATACTGATAGGACTTCTTGGTGTGGCTCAAATTTCTGTATCAAGTAACAAAGTGTAGACATGTTCATCTTAACAGGGTCTTCATTGTAACTAAAATACCCTTTGTTTTAAGCATGTGTTTATACGTCTGATTCTTATCTTTAACTTTGACCTTCTCAAGGGCCTTCAGAACTCCAAAGATCATGCATTGCCCAGCCTAGACCCTAATCACATAGCACAGAACTCATCTTTGTAGCAATTTAAATAACTATTTTCAGAATTGATATAGCTGAGAAAGTCCTTCATTCTCCCAGGATACCTGTAGGAAAAACACAGAAATACACTCTTAAGAGCTGCATTCCACCTCAGAAGTCACTCTCCCTCAAGGTCAGCTTTGCAAAGGCTGTCGCAGCCATCTACCAGGCAAAGATAGATTCTGAAGTAGTGTCTGAGGAGCCAACATTTCTGAAACTCCCAAAGATATCCGAATGGGAGCTTTGGTTTCTCCAGTAATCACAGAGAGCTAGCTTTCCCTAGAGGGAAGAAAATAACCCTGGGGAAGATACTTTTCTTTTTTATTGGCCATAATCACCTGCTAGGCTGATCAGAGCAGCAGGGGTTAGAGCACTAATGTGCACTGCTGGCCAGAAGCCAAAAATGGGCCTAGACATGCAGAACAGGAATACAATGCATGATTTAGCAACATCTGTGGTTTAGACATCAGATACAATAAAGGGGAGAGAATTGGAAGCCAGCTTAGAAAGACAGCCATAAGGAACACAAGCACACGGTGCCATGAAGTAACTGAATATCCTCCCTTGAGATTTTGTCCCCAGAGTCTAGCCAAATGGAAGACGTTGACTTTTCTCTCAAGTCTCTAGCAGCAAAAGGAGTCTTGGTGTGGAAGACGAGGCACAATAGGAAAGCAATGGTCTGGGCAGTTGCTAAGTCCTCTGGAGCATGTGTGCCTAGTATGTATGTGAACACATTGATTTGAGCCATAATGCTTATGCTGTCAGGACACTAAGACTGTGATTTTAAAATATATAACAAACTAATTGGTTTTAAATCAAGTTATTGATATAATACACAAAAATATTCAATAATCACTGTGGGAATTCACCATAAATTTTGATAGATTTGCAATTTGAGATAGACGGGTAGAAGCGGCCATAGTCCTAATATTTTATGCCCTAATTTCTGTTTCTAATGAAACAGTTTGAGATCATTAGGTTTATTGCTCACATTTAAGTTTCTCAACACTTTTCAACCCAAAGTTTTATTAATCTGATTAAAGATTTAGTTTTAGATAAGCCAAATCCAGCTAGTACATGAAATATAAGTTATTCCCAGAGTAATCAAGCATGGCTACTTATTTTAGTCTGCATTTAACTGCAGTATATGTTACCTAAATTCAGATGCAAGGCACATAACATAATGCAAAGGATTTCAGCCTAAACTCTCAGGGGAATACCATTTATCAGCATCTTTGAAATTAAAGAAATATATAATATGACAACTTGAACACATTAAAGAGGTAAAACTAACATGCCTTTTGGCATGTTGAAAGTGTGATCGGCACATCTTTTTTACAATAAACATAGGAGTTATTTAAGGAGAAGTTATTACCTGTTTAATATCCTCATTATAGCAGAATTCATAATGACAGAGAAATTTTCTTGAAGGGGCCACTCAAAGGAGTTTACTAACCCTTCTGTGATCCCCACCACTGGGGGCCGCAGATCCACTGACCCAGATCCATTGACCTGTGAACTATTTATTTACTTAGGATACCACTATGAAGTGTAATATAGGATTCAAATATAAAATAAAGTATGTCTATATAGGTGTGCTTTTTGAGGAATTTAAGGCAATTTAATTTATTTGGATTGAAAAGACTTGTGTGCATCAAAACTACTAGAGAGAACCATTCAAGAATGTTTTTTGGCTTTATAATCCCACAGCAATTTGGAAAGAAACATACAGAGAGAAAGAGAGGAGAGTCATGTAGGAGCATCAGAGAGAGAGAGAGGTAGAACTGGGTAAGACTTAAATGAGGAGGAAAGGCCCTGGGTGGCAGAAATAAAAGCGGATGTTGACAACTGAGTGTCAGTTCAGGAGAAGAGTGAAGCAGGCGTGGGCGTGGTGAACCCTGGGCACAGCAAAGCCCTACCAGCTGACCTGAGAGTGAGGGCCTCTGCTGGAGGGCTGGAGGGAGATTATTGGGTAGTCTGGGCAGAATCTGGCAAAATTCAACCCTATATTAAGGCCCAGAAAAGTTAAAAAGACTTTCCCAGGCACATGCTTAAAATATGGCAGAGCTAAGACACAACTTCAAATACTATCCTCAATACCGTATGCTGGCTGGGTTATACAGGGCAGCAGTAGAGCAGTGTTGACCCTGAACTCAGAACCACCTTCTCCCAGTTGTAGGGGTAACTTTAACAGAAGTTACTCAGTAATATCATCTGCAATGGCCTAGACATATCCCAGGCAGTTTATCTAGAAACCATCAGTCGGTGCTTTTAATAAGCTCTTTATACTTTATTTATTTTGCTCTCTTTTGACTCTAACAGATGAGATGCCATTGTTGTGGTGTGTTTAATTTTCTAGCATGCAAAACAATGTGTAAATAGGGCAAGTATATATAAGTTCAGTTTCTTAAATAGTGCAAATAATCCCATAAGAACAGTCTACAGCTGTCATATACCCTCTCCTGCCAATATCTACTAATAAAAGCAAAATATAACTGCAACATTATCATACTTATATACTAACACCAGTGGTCAAAACTGTCTATAAGTTGCCATTACAATCCCATCTAAGATAAAAATGGAAATCATATTTATAATACATATTTACCTAGAATTTATTTTATTTTCTAGGCTCTTCAATGGCCAACAAGGAATTATTATTCAAAATTTTAGCACAAGATCCATTCTCACGGTTACCAATGTGACACAGGAGCACTTCGGCAACTATACCTGTGTGGCTGCCAACAAGTTAGGCACAACCAATGCGAGCCTGCCTCTCAACCGTAAGTAACACCGTGTTGCCAAAATGCCCTCATGGGCCCCTTGGCTCCTCTCCATCAGTAGAGATAAAACATAACAGAATATGTATTCATTTCAGTATTCAGCCTGATGAGACATGTTCCTTACACAGAGGAACTTGGCCACAAATGATATGGGTGTTTAGAATTTTACAATCTGTATAGAAGTATACATGATATTAGAAAAAAGTCTTAAAGCTGAGAAAAGAAAAAAATGTACATATAATACACCCCACTGAAAAACATCTTCTGGATAAAGACCATTGATTTGGTGAGGGTTTGTTTTGTTTTGATTTATTTTTTAAAATGTACTATATTATCTTTTTTTGTCAAGCAAATATTTGGTAAGTTTATTTTTTAATACATTTTGCTGATTATGTGATTATAGTTATCCAATTTTTTCTCACCTTTATTCCTTTCTGCCCTGCACCCCCCTCCCACCAGCATCCCCCCTCCCTTAGTTCATGTCCATGGGTTGTGCATAAAAGTTCTTTGGCTTCTCTATTTCCTATACTATTATTAACCTCCCCCTATCTATTTTGTACCTACCATTTATGTTTCTTATTCCCTGTACTTTTTCTCCCATTCTCCCCACTTCCCCTCCCTGCTGATAATCTTCCAAACCCCCATGTGATCTCTATTTCTGTGATTTCTGTGATTCTGTTCTTGTTGTAGTTGTTTGCTTAGTTGTTTGTGTGTGTGTGTGTGTGTGTGTGTGTGTGTGTTTAGTTGTTGATAGTTGTGAGTTTATTGTCATTTTACTGTTCATAGTTTTGATTTTTTTTCTTAGATAAGTCTCTTTAACATTTCATATACTAAGGGCTTGGAGATCATGAACTCCTTTAACTTTACCTTACCTGGGAAGAATTTTATCTGCCTTTCCATCCTAAATGATAGCTTTGCTGGATAGAGTAATCTTGGGTGTAGGTCCTTGCCTTTCATAACTTTGAATACTTCATTCCAGCCCCTTCTTGCCTGTAAGATTTCTTTTGGGAAATCAGCTGAGAGTCCTATGGGAAGTCCCTTGTAGGTAACTCTCTCCTTTTCTCTTGCTGCTTTTTTAAAATTATCTCCTTATCTTTAATCTTGGGTAATATAATTATGATGTGTCTTGGTGTGTGCTTCCTTGTGTCCCATTTCTTTGGGACTCTCTGAGCTTCCTGGACTTCCTGGAAGTCCATTTCCTTTATCAAATTAGGAAATTTCTCCTTCATCATGTCTTCAAATAAGTTTTCAATTTCTTGCTCTTCCTCTTCCCTTTTTGGCATCCCTATGATTCAGATGTTGAAATGTTTAAAGTTGCACAGATCTTCCTAAGCCTCTTCTCATGTTTTTGAATTCTTATTTCTTCATTCTGTTCTGGTTGAATGTTTATTTCTTCCTTCTGATCCAAATCATTGATTTGAGTCCCAGTTTCCTTCCCTTCACTGTTGGTTCCATGTATATTTTTATTTACTTCACTTTTCATAGACTTTACTTTTTCTTCTGTTTTGCAACCATACTCGACCATTTCTGTGAGCATCCTGCTTACCAGTATTTTGAACTCTGCATTTGATAGGTTGGCTATCTCCTCATTGCTTAGTTCCATTTTTGGAGCTTTGATCTGTTCTTTCATTTGGGTCACATTTTTTTTTTGTCTCAGTGCACCTGTTACATAGTAAGTGGCAGAGCCTTACATATTCACCAGGGCGGAGAACATACATCACTGCATTGTGGCACTGTATGTGGGGGAGGGGTTAGAGAGGAAACAATCCCACTTGCTTGGCTCTTGGCTGGCTTTTTAGTCACAAAGTGGGCCCTTGTGCTGATTCCCAGGTGGGTGGGTTTGTGTATATTCTAGGACCCTGTGGGTCTCTCCAATGAACTCTCCTGTGAGGCTAGGAGTTTCTCCCACCACCACAACCCCCACAAGTTTATACAGCCAGAGGTTTTGAGGCTTTATTTCCCCAGGCTAGAACCCTAGGTTATGTGGTCTATCTTGCTCCCTAATTATTCCTCCTGGTTTATCTTCATGCAAATGTGGAACCACCTGGTCCACCAGCCACTGCCTTGCAGGGTGTCCTCTCCTCCCCAGCTGCCCATCTCTGCCCCTCCTACCAATCTGAATGAATGTTTCTTCTTAAACTCCTTGGTTGTTGGACCTCCATACAGTTCGATTTTCTGGCAGTTCTGGTTATTTTTTGGTTTTGAATTTGTAGGTATCTTTCTTTTGGTTGTGTGAGAAGGCAGAGTTTATCTACCTATACCTTCATCTTGGTCACAAGTTCTAAAAGTGTGTTATATTATCCTGAAACATGAATTAATTTGGGTTGAATTTATTCTTGATTTATTTTCTTTAGACATGCATCTTGGAATAGCCAGAATTTCACATGCCATAAATAAAAGGAAATAGTAAGTTAGTAAGTAAATGGTCATGTACAAAAGTATTTTATCTATATAGAGAAAGTTTTTGCTCAAAACTATATTTTAGAATACAACTTTTTACTAAAATAAAGAATATATTTACAATGTACATTATTTCCTAAGGACTAGAAATAAAAAAAGGAGATCCAAAATAAGGATGAGTTGAGGGGAAAACAACCTATTGTAATGTTTCTTCCATCAATTATTTTAGTGCTTTTTAGAAGCTGAATCACCAGTAAAGTGTTATAACCATTAAAAAGTCCTGATTTAGAAATGGAGTGTTTCTCAACATGTTCATGACAGAATACACTGTCTTCTCAGTTTTACAAAGTTAACTGAATCATCCTTATCTCATATATTTTTATAGAAACCTGGTATATATATATATATATATATTTATGCTATCATCCTAAGATCATAAGCTGTCTCTGAAGAACACAAATATTGTGGAGTTAATCACAGACATGATCATTTCCATTTTGCAGAAATGAGGATGGGATATATAATAGTCCTACTACTTAAAGTATACTATAATAAGAAGGTTTGTGATTTGTACACTTTGAATCATCATGATTTAAAAACCTCTGATGTTAAATAAAAGCTAACAATTTGTTGTTAATAAAAATACATTTGAAGATTATTTGTTCTATATAAGCTCTTCAAACATCACCTAATTTGTTTTTTCAGCTTAATGTTACTTAATTTTTTTCTTTTTTATGTATTATTGTTCAGTTATAGTTGTCCCACTTTCTTCCCCATATTCTCCCCTGCCCCATCCCTGCAACTCATAGTCAATCCACCCCATTGTCTGTGCCCATGAGTCCCCTATTTGTGTACTTATTTTTTTTAGTATCTCCACATTGAAAGAAAAACATTACTTACCACACAATAGGCATATATACTTATTTCAGTTTCTGCCATGAGGATGATTTATTTAGTATAATTATAAACCATTGAAAATATTATAGAGCAGTATGAATTCTAATTTAATGTAAATATTGATACTTCTTTAGTATGTTATTAATATCTTAAATGGTTTAAATATTCAAGAATCTAGAAGGATAACTGAATTAAAAAGGTAAAGAGAAATTTAAGAGTTAATAACACATTAAGTTTTTTCTTTTTAAACTTCTAAGTAACATTCTAATATTCAAAACTGAAGCATTAATGAATGTAACAAATGGGGAACAAATGTCACTTATCTAAGTGTGTGTAATACTCTAGCAACCTTTACACCATCGTCCGGAAGTGAAGCACTGCTCAGAAGGCTTCTAAACATGGTATCTTCAGAATGGACTTCGATGGTTTCTCTGTTTTTGCCACTGGTTTCCTGTTTGTAGAGGTGCTGTGAAATGCCAGTGCAATTTGATTTACTTGTTAATAAAGACATAATGTGTAAATATTGTCTATAAGTATTAATATATCCCTGGAAATTTGAAGAAATATCCATATGTAAGAGCTCTTGTATGACCTCATCTGAAGATTTTATTGAACTAAACCTTTCTGTGTACAATAATTGTTTTTATATATTTTTCATCCATTCACCAAATTATGTTTGCTAAGAAGACATACAAACAATATGTATGAGATATCAAATTTAAGTACATAAAAGGTGAAGGGGATCAATGTTTAACTGAAAACATATGCAAAAATGAGACTTTGGGCCATTAAACACATTTTTATGGTATTCTAAATCTCCTTGGAGTGGTACAGGCACCGAATACAGGCATAGCAAATCTGAAAACCATATGTGGGGAAAGGCAGCTTTCCTGAAATGCTTGCAGTGCTAGCTGGACCGAAAGCAGTGTGTCCATCACATCTTCACAAGATCTATGAATGGGAGGGCCTTCAACTTTGAATGGATCAAGACTAGAAGCCAGTCTAAGATGATCTAATATTGGCCCATGACCTGTATATATATATATGTGTGTGTGTGTGTGTGTGTGTGTAATATTATATATATTTTTTAAACTGTTACTGAAGATCAACCCTTTCTATAGTGTGTGGAGCAAATTTTCCCATCTTACCCAGGAGAAAGAAAGGAGGCTCCAGAGTCTGCACCAGTATATGTGGTAATACTTGGAACATACTATGAACAAGTAAATCTTCATGCTTTCGAGGTTTGTATTTCTGAGTAGTTAATAAGCTCAAAGACAGGGTAATAAAAAATGGGAGTCACCTAGCATAGTGCTTATGTGTAGCAAACCCTCAAACTAGTTGATAATAGCATTTCAACAGTGCCTTAGCCACTGGGGATCAGCTCCCCATCCATCGTTATTTAGGGTAAATCCTGAGGCTGTTCACAATCTACTCCTAGTTTTTAATAACCTACATTTTCCAGATCAGCAAGAAGATAAATGATAATAAACTGTAATTTTTAGCTTTTGCCTTAGCTAACACCATCCAAAATGGAATGTAGAAATTTTTGTTGTGTAAATATATTAGTGTGTACACTTCACATAAAGGGAGTCAAGAAAGTCTTTGTTTGAACCATAGTTTTGAACTGGATCTGTTATGTGTGACTTTGAGTAAGTTACCTAAATGCCAAAGCCTCAGTTAATTCATTTGTAAAATGAAGGCAA